ATAATGTAATTCTACACTCTCAATAAAAAGGGTTTCACGGCGCAGGATGGTTCTTTATGGGTTTCATAATTTGTTGCAGGACTCTGGCGGCTCTGAGAGCTGCATATTAGCGAATCATCCTGAATCACACAACAGTGTAAAATCTCAAAACAGCTGCACGTGCAGCAATAATGAGTGATGTCATGTCACTAAACAACAGAAACAACACTGATTTCAAAGTCAAAGTGAGAAGTTGGCATCGTTAGTGGATTATAGATGGACGTAAACATCGTTGCACCCCTCAAAAATAAACCATGCTGAAATGTCTTGATTGAGGGTTAAAATATGAAAGCATGACCTTGATCACGACTTGCAATGGTGTGAAAATAACTGTAATCATAAAATGAGTAGCTAAAGTTTCATTTTAAAGTTTGTTTATTTGCTGCAAGACAGAAAAAGATCAGAATAAAAAAAATTTATGAAAAAAATATAAAACAACTACTTTGGTCCAAGTTAAACTGTTGCATAATTCAATAGAATGACAATGGGCTATAGAGATTTTATGGAATAGTTAATGATTAGCATGCAGGTTACCTGTCATTTGATCACAGATTTAAACATTTTTCTATGAACTTTCCTCTCAAACTTGATTTTGCATTTCAGTTAAATCCATTCAGACATGTAAGAAAAGGGTATTTACTCTGATTTTAAACAAAAACGTGATATTTAAAAACTTTTATTGTTGTTCTAAAAGCATCTTGCTGTTCTTCTGCCTCCATAAGTTCTCTGTTCAACGACAGCTTCAACATGGTTAATTTAAAAAAAACCTGAGCCAAAAATGAAATGAAAGCCAAAAAAGTTCATTTTTATCCAGAAAAAAGAGAGGATTTGATTTATTGATACTGCAAATCACCCACGTGATCACTCTAGAATAGGATCCCTACAATTATTTTTGAAACAACATGATTATAATTCATGTTAGTTAGTTAGTTAGTTAGTTAGTTAGTTAGTTAGTTAGTTAGTTAGTTAGTCAAACGTGTTTTTTTTCTCTTTCTGGACCTTTCTCGTCCTCCTGCTGTGAAATCCAAGCAGCAGCAATAGGACCGGGGAGAGAAGAGGATGACAGCCTTCGTCTCACTAATCTCTGACATCCTCGACTGCAGAGCCTTTTTTCTCAGGTCTGGGATCATTTCAGCTGTCAATTTAAATGAGTCCGTTATCGGACAACTCAGTAAGTGGACATCCATTACCGGGACGTGTCTTCTGTCTGTCTGGGCCAGCTTGACTTTCTTTGGCTATCTTTAGATCTTTGGACTTCTAGAATGTCCAGATTCTTGTCTTAACACGAGTTTTAATTATGTGTCCAATTATTTACCCAAATGAGTGAAGCTCCAGTCAGAGTTTATTTCTGGTTCAAAGGAAAACAATGCTTACAATAAATGGTCTGTTTCAGAGGAAGAGGCTTGGCCCATTGAATAGTCTTAAAATAAAATGTAATGAAAGGTTTCCTCATAGCAGGTGGTGTTTGTTGATCAGTGAACTGTGAACATATCGTTTAATTTTCTAAAGGGTTTTATCAAACAATTAATTTCACACAATAAAAAACATTGAAATTGTTGTTAAAAGTTGCTGCAAAACAACCGTTTTATTTATGGTCTTAGAAAGTTTGTTTTGTGAAGTAAGCGAGGCTTTCATCTACTTTTTAAACCCCTTATATTTGACCAATAACTGGATGCATTTCAGAATAAACCAATTTATAAAATACATGAACTGCGCTTCGACTTTAATTTTACGCCAAATCGTCATGCTTTGCACTTTTTCCCGTTAGTCTCTCTGTTATGAGCAGGCACAAACATAAATGAGTAAATCCTCATCAGGCTGTTAAAATTTTAATTGAGGTGTCTTTCAGAAGCGCGCGGACACCTGCGAATTTGCGTCACTCAGCGCGGATTCTTTGAGCGCAGGTCACGTGGTGCTCTGTGGCGGTTTTGGACCAGATGGAGGTGCTTATTTCATTAATTAACAGCTGGAGGAGGGACTTCTTTGGGTTTGCCAATAACTTCTTCTCATTTCTATGCTTTCATATTCATTTGGCGCGCGCTCAGCTCCACCAACCTCACCACCCAAAAAGGACCAAATAAAAGCTAAATGTACCGGCAGGTCACTAATATATCGGGCTGGTGGGGGCCAACTGTGACAAATTCCTTTTGTCTCCGCTTTGCTGGTACTTTATTACCCAGGCGAGCAGCAGCGCCTGGAGATAACGATTCATCACGCACAGCCGGCAACCATAGACAGCGCCTCTGGGCTACGCCAGCGAGGGGTTTTCATTTGGAGAGGGCATGCACGCGCGCCTGGCTACAGGAGTGCATACGCGTGTGCGTGAGGGGGTGGGGGTGTTATATCTTAATAGGCTACAGGGTTTTATTGGGGATCGTTTCTTTTGCACCGCGTTACTCTTTACCACCATAAACAATCATGATTGGCCTGTTAGTGTTTATTCAAACAGTGTGAAGTCCCCGTATGTTCGGCCAATATGGATTATTAAACGGTCATTTGGTGATCATGTGGAAAATCTATGCAGCAGCAAGGGACAAAATGTGGTGCAAGCAGCTCGATGATGGTTTTGCGCAAAATCGCTTCTGAACAGAAAACACTCAAAAATGTGATTTCCTCAAATGCATTAGTGATGTACAAAACGTTTTAACTGAACTATCTGGGGTTCACATATCAAATGAAATGATATTTTCTTTTCATTTTCTTTATTCGTTTGGGTCAAAAGAAAAAAATATGACAATAATGTTAAAATGCATTTATTTGTTTGTTTATTTGGCCATTTTGATGCATGTTTTTGATGTTAGGATGCAGTCGATCCAAATTGTTTTTCTTCTGCAGAAACACCTGATCACAATGACTCGCACTTCTGATTCACTGGAGCAGACAAACACCTAAACATGCAGGATGGTGGCCCAAAGATCAGAGACCACCGCTCACCAGTTTGACAACCAGAGCTTTTGGACTCTGCTGCTGGTTTTGGAGAGTTCCCTATTGAACCAGTTTATTTGGAAATGATTAAATAAAAATCCAAATTAAAAATGTCAAATCAATACAAACACATTGACAATATCTCCTCCATCTTTCACCAGGAGTCCCAAATTGCACATTAGAAATGAGACGTTTTTTAAAAATCCCCCATAATTCCCTGGTGTTTGACTCTAACAGCAGCCTGGGAGCCAATCAGGCGAGCAGCCTGAAGAGGTGAGAATAATGAAAAGAGGCACTTGGTGTCGTGAGGAGTGGGGCTGGACTGTCAGTCTCTGAAAAGAGATGTCGGAATTTTAACTGATTTGTGAACAAATGCGCAGAACTTCATGGTTGCACAATTTGACGCAAACCCAAACAGCAGAGTACCCTGTCACATGCAGAGTGCAAATGAAACCTATTTAAATATCAAAACTTAACATTTACAACAGCTTTTAGAATTTTAAATAAAAACCACTCGTGCCGTGCACTCGTCAACAATTAGTGCACTGACAGTGACGCACAATCATCTCTGCAGCTGCTCCATGAGCTGTCTTCCAGTCCAGTGAGGCTTCTCAACATTGTTTTCCACTTTCATGCTCATTTTGCATAAACGCACAACTACCACCGATCTGAGGCTCGGCCCGATCTCGTCCCAATTCATTTGAATGTGACGCGCAAACATAAACAGGCCTAATGGCAGATGCGCTCGCGCCGATCCCGTCCCCGCTCCGTTATTGATATGGCCTTGAATTCACACAATTGATTTTTATGCTTCCCTCTAGCCACCTTGTGTAGTGGAGAGATATCTTTATTCGCACGGAAAGTGAAATAAGTGCGTAATAAAACGGTGATATATTAAATTCGTTTTTCCCCGTGTCGCGCTTTTATTATGAGTCATTTTTCATTTTTATTGAATTGAGACCTCGGCGATCAACGTCGCTCCGGGCGGAGAAAGGTTAAATAATTTGTGCAAATCAGCCGCGCGCCACTCTCCAATCGAGCTTCCCTTGTTATTTATTTGTTTAATTATCTATCTATCATCTATCTATCTATCTATCTATCTATCTATCTATCTATCTATCTATCTATCTATCTATCTATCTATCTATCTATCTATCTATCTATCTATCTATCTATCTATCTATCTATCTATCTATCCATCTATCTATCTATCTATCTATCTATCGCCTTTTTACCCATGTTTTACTCCTTTCCTGCACAGGCTTCATTCTGCAGATCTGTCCTTCCTGATATCTGACGGTGGCATTTTCACATATCTGATGACGCAACCCGCTTTTTAACACCATCAAAGCTTATGCAGATCCTGTTTCTTCTCAATGAGAGTTCACGGGTCAGAATAAAAATGAATGTTGTTTAAACAAATAGTTATCTGAGGAGTGTTGTGAATGTTGCAATACAGCACGTGACCTGCTTGGTGCAGACAACCAAAGACTGTTTTGCTGAGGAGTTGCCAAATAGTCCAAATGACCTCTCAGGTGTCCAAATCTCCTCTTGCAGGGGTTCGTTGATGCAAAACACAATAATAATAATACACATAATGAGGAATGATTAACAACAAACTGCAATAAAATATCCAAAGCAAATGCATCATTGCTGAGTTAAACGTTATTTGCTACATTATAAGGCTTTTTAATTAGGTGCGTCTGTTTGGCGCGCGGACAAACGCGCCTTTATAGAACACGTCGTCTCCTTATTCCATTTATGGAAATCCTTAGCATTAAATGAAACTGTTGAAAATGTTAAATATTTCTTAATTTTTTTTAAGTTTGAATTTTTTATAACTATTTTATGAAATATGAAAGAAATAACGCGCTAAAATGCGCAAAACGTCCCTTAAAGACCAGAAAATCCGTGCAAAAGACAAAAGGCTGCGGCCTCTTTAAGACATCCAAGCAAAACAACTGTCCTCTCGTGGAGGAGGGAGGATGAGAGTGAGAAATGGGAGGGGGTGAGGGCTGGAGGACCGAATGGCAGCTTTTACGCAGAGGGCAGTCTCACCTGCTGAAACGCACTTCACCATTCAGCACAACAGAGCCATTCTCTCGCGCTCACCTCCAATTAATATCCGAGCCTGCGAGGTCAGCGCTTCCATTTTTTTCTCGGCTTTGCTTTTGTTTTGATCCAGAGGGCTAGGTTGTTTTTGCTCTGTCCCCCGCGTATGGGTCGCCTCTGCCAGAGTGGGCGAACAAAGCGCATCAAGTCTCTCCACAGAGCTGCCTTCTCTCTAAACCACGGATTTTTGACTGTAAGTAAACTTCGCAGGATAATCGTTTGGCATCGTCGGCGGGGCATCCTATAGGCTACCTCGTGTCTAATTCGCTTGGATCACAGATCGCTCTATTAAAGATGGATAGGCTAAGCTTTTTCTTCGCCAAGCGGATAGTGGTTTAATTTAGGAAGCATCCACCGCTGGAGAAAACTGAAGCAATGGCATGATTTTGGATCGCACCCGACACGTTATTGGTTCCCTGGGAGTTGGCTGCATGTGTCGATGCTTGAACACCAGAAAATAGCTCCGTTCTGCAGCACAAACTCAAATATCTCCCTTTCTTTAGATTAGATATATGAAGATAATTAATCCATATTCTCATAAAACGCAGTGAGCATCGTCAGTAAATCATGGAGCACACTGGGATCGAGGAAGTCAGCCAGACACACCAGCAGCAGCATGAACCCATCAGCTTTGGGATCGACCAGATCCTGAACAGCTCGGATCAGTCTAGCGGCTGCATGCTGCCCAACCGGACCAGCGACCCGGATTACGCGCTGGCCTCCAACGTCTACAGCAACGGCTACAACAGCGTGTACAACCCAGCCTGCTCCATGGCGGCGGCGGCGGGCTTGGCCGGCTCCTACAACGTCAACATGAACATGAATGTCAGCATGAACATGAACATGAACGTTAACGTGAACTCCGGGAGTTCCAGCGGGGTGATTCGGGTACCTGCGCACAGACCCATGCCGCCTCCGCCACCGCCGCCCGCCGCCGCCGCTCCTCACCCGCCCCCTTCTACGCATCCGCCGGGGATCGGACCCGGAATCCCCTCGGTGGCCGGGATGGGGATGGGGAACCCCGCGAACTTCACCTTTCCATGGATGGAGAGCAGTAGGAGGTTCGCAAAGGACAGACTGACAGGTAAAGAACAAATTCACAGATTGAGAATAGTTCACTCGTGTGTGTGTGTGTGTGTGTGTGTGTGTGTGTGTGTGTGTGTGTGTGTTTAACCGGTTCTGGACGGTGTAGAGCTCTGGGCCTTTATCACCAAAGTGCGGATGATGGTTTAATATTTTGGTTGTAATCTATAACGAGTCATATAGGCGCGCGCTGAGTGGCTTTTATTATGCTGGAAGGGCAGCCTGATAAACGAGCGGAGAAATTGACGCGGACATGCTGATGAATCAGTATTGGACAATCACTCTCCATTTACAGCAGATGACGGATAACCACGTTCCCGGGTCCTTCATGAGGATGAATGATTTCTTTCTCTTCCTTGAGCCAGTTGATGAAAGTTGGATGATGAGTCAGGGTTGCAATGAAACAATGAAGTAGTAGTAGTAGTAGTAATAATAATAATAATAATAATAATAATAATAATAATAATAATAATAATAATGAAATAAAATAGCCTAATAAAAATGCATCAAGATTAACTTAGAAGCCAGGGTTCAGGCAGATTATGTTAATCTTTTTCGTTTCTATTTGAAAATTTGAAACTATTTTGTCTACAATAAACTTATTTCCATGTCAAAAGCAGCACACAAAAATCACAAAAGATATTTTTTATCGATTTCCACTGAAAACAAACGTCTGCCTTGATGTGCATTTATTTATAATTGAGCTCTACATCTTTTAATCCATGATTGCACATAAAAAGCACAAAAGTGAAAAATTGCGCATTTATCCAAGTCCCTGCAGTTATTTGCATCTTGAGGTAAGACATTCATTTTCGCTCGCTGTGGTTTTTATTTCAATAACAACCAACATAAAAAACAGAAAAAAAGAAAAGAAAAACAAACAAAACAAAAAAACGTGTGGCACTTAAAAAAAGATTCAATATTTTACAGAAATGTTGACTTTTTGTAAAAAGCAATAAATACATAAATAAATAAATATTTCTGAGTTATTTTGATAAATACTTAATAATAATAATAATAATAATTATTATTATTATTATTATTATAATTATTATAGATTAGATAACGCTCGTTTGAAGGACTAAACTGTTTAAGGAGCACCCATACTCGTTTCTCTCTCTTTAAGAATAAAAAAGAACCAGACATCCTGAAGCTCCTCGGACACGCTCCCTCTCCACACATTAAATATTCATATTTCAGTTCTTTCTCTACATGATTAATTATTAATTACTGGGGGACGATATGTCATCTGCAAAAAGATACAGTGTAAATAGACTTATCAATTTTACTCATAGTCACCGAGGGCCTCTCGTTTAATTTCTCCCAGCTTTCTGTAATTATTTCGCTGCTTATTTCTTTCCCATGTATTGATCAGCCAAAGATCCAAAGCAGGCACACACACACACACACACACACACACACACACACACACACACACACACACACACACACACACACACACACACACACACACACACACACACACACGCACGCACACACACACACGCACACGCACACGCACGCGCTTAAAAGGCTCTATCAGCTATCTTATAAACTCGATCCTTCTGGCAGAGCTCCCAGTTTGAATGTTTCTCCCTGTTTCTTGTTTTTCTGCTCGTCCTCCAACATGAAACCGGAGGTGTTCAGCTCCTGTCTGCACACGGAGCCGAAGGCTTCCAGCTCTCACACGAACACAAATTGTAAACAAAAACCTGCGAAATTGCTCTGCAGATTCTCGTTTTTTACGCTGCAGGTGCAAATTCACGATCATGCATCACGGCTGCAGCTCAGAATCAGAACAAAAGAACCATGCAGTGGATTCTAATTCATTCACTGGCTATTAAACCGGTCTGCATTAAATCAGAGCCTGTGGAGACGTGGCTTTATTTTATCCTAATGCGCGCATGGTTTAAATGTCAAAACTCAGATCAGTTCCACCATCTGAAGCTCTGTTTACAGCGTTTCGGTTCCCCATTTAGCTCACTCAAGCAGGCAAAAATGTCATAACAAATAAATAAATAAATAAACAAAACAAAATGATTAAAAAGTAAATCACAAACAGGATGTTTCAACAAAACTAACACCAGGGTTATTTCAATTCTGTTCAAAACCCTTTATTCATTCCAGCAGGAAATCAGAAAGCTCCAATAATAATTAGCGAATCAAATATTTGTTAATATTATCATTTTTACATGTTACCTTTTTACTTTATAATCCTTAATGTCCCAAAGAAGAAAATCTACAAAGAAAGATTAAAAGAATTCACTTTTAACACGGGTTTTAAATGTTATCGGTATTGGTAACTCCCATGTTCACAGCTCAGTTTTGATCACAAAATATATACTTAGGAATATTAAACAGTATCTAACATAAAATATTTTTAAAAGCTTTAAAAAGTAATAATAATAATAATAATAATAATAATAATAATAATAATAATAATAATAATAATAATAATAATAATAATTTGTATGAAGTAAAAATGATTACATGTAATGATAATAATTAGACAATTACCGGCGTGATAATACATCAGAGCCCAGCACCAATAAAAACTATAATTAGGCTCTTTTCTCTTTGGCTGCAGACACAAATCACTTCCTCCCCGCTCGTGTCATTGCGACAGAAAACAGTCCCCTCCTTTTGTTCCGTGTTGTGTAATAAATAGCAATGTATGTTCACGTTATATTTCAATATCCCCTTTAGAATCCTTCACGGATATATTTATTAGATTGCTACCGAGGTAATATCCGCAGTGGGGAAGGGAGGCGCTGTCACCGAGAAGTGTTATTAAGTATAAGTGGTTTTATTATGGGAAACATATTCTCCACGGTGGCATTTTATTTTCTGATAATGCTTATGCTAAATTGTGTTATCGAGGCAGCAGATTTTATACTTTCACCCGTTTCTTTTTTTTATTTGCTGAAAAAGGAGATGAAAGTCAAATAGTTTCTAATTTTATTTTTAAGGAAAAAAACTTTTATTTTTATACATTTATCAAATATGTGATAAAATATTATCAAATAATATTTTTCTTCATGAGAAAACAAGGTGCATTTTTATGATTTCATTCTCTTCTTAAGCTTTATTTGGTGACTTTTGTTCAGGAGAAAAACTGTTATTAGAAAAAATATATATATGCTATTTTCATTAATAACTGAAACTTGAGATTATTTTTATTAGCAGTACAAATATATCCTGATCATTCCTATGCTTTTCTTTTACTTTCTTGATTTGTTTTTAATTATTACACCCTGCAAGCTTAAATAAAAACTAACGTTCCACTGCAGCCCAAATCAGCCAAATAAATGCCCAATTAAAGACACAACAGAGAATGATCACATCTACATTTTCATTAGATCAGCTAGAGTAAGTGTGTAATATTTAGATAACTGACAATATTAATTTCTGACACAAAATAGCACCAGGGCTCATTTTAAATATTATTTTACACCTTTTCTATCATGGTGACTTGTGCAGGATCTGCTAGCACAGATGGATAATTAATGTATCCCTCTGCATTTCGAGCTCTGTAAGCCAATGCTTCTCCAGAAGATTCTGCTGCTCCTTGTTGCCTCTGAACGTGCTCATGTGTGCCTGGCCCATCGGGTCACAGATGGTTTGAAATAGCCTTCTAATGCAGTATTATTTAGCCAGGCCTGCCGCTGCAGGAGCGCGCGCACACACACACACTCACACACACGCACACACACGCACACACACACACACACACACACACACACACACACACACACACACACACACACACACACACACACACACACACACACACACACACACACACACACACACACACACACACACACACACACACACACACACCCTCCTCAATCTTTGTGATCTGTGTGGCTTCATATAACACTTTTAAACAAATAGTAACAAAAATCAGTATTATACGTCTTTAAATCACAGATCATTTACAAAGTCTGACAATTCCGCCGTAATTCAGCAATAAATAACACAAAAGTGTTCATTTTTTACAATTATTGCAACAGCACAGTAATGTTTGTTTGTGTAAAATCACAGCTCATAGAGACGGCAGTCAGAGCCCCAGTAGGAGCGTTAGCGGCGTATAATTACCCTTTTATTGAGCATCAGAGCAAACACATAACACAAGGTAGTATTATAATGCTGTAAAAATATCAGTGACGATTAAAAATAACAATAAGAGGAGAAAATAAAAGGTCAAAGTTGAGCTTACTGCAAAATCCAGAGGAATGGATGTTGAGATGGACAGGTTCTCACGACACACCATGAATCTGTGTTGCTACACAGAGGTGACATAAACTTTATGTGACCTGCTACAGCAGAATCATCTCTTTTCTTTACAAATCATTTGCCTCGCCTTCAATTTGCCGCTCGCGTTCAGCACCATCGGGGGACTCTGGCAGATTCATAATAGCTTCATGTTCCATTTTCCATCCAAATTGTCATCATGTGTGCAGCAAATGAATTTTCAGGTGGCTGAAACTCTGTAGAGCAGCAGCAGCACAGAGCCCCAAGGGGCACACGCAGATGTTTTCATATTCATTTGTGCTCCTGGTGAGCTTTCCTGACAAAACAAAAACAAATAAACACCCTGTTAGACAGCAGGCAAAACAGCCTGCTGGGGTGGAGTGACACAGGCAGAGAGAGGGAGACAGGAAGATTTTGCTGTTTTAAAGCTGTTGATTTTCATTCAGCTTCTAAATGAGAATGTGGCTGCAGAGTGGATCTATGACCAAAGATCTCATTTCATTATTGATCATCTGTTTACTCGTGGCTGACAAAATAGACAGGAATCATAGATATTTTATGATGTGAAGGATAAGTTGTTATTAATACCCAACATGGGGAGGGAAGCAAGAGGCTCTGAGGCAAAGAACTGAAGAAAACCGTGATTTTTCAGTTTAATACAAGGGACAAAAAACCTCTAAATCAAAGCCTTTTTTTTACTGTGTTAAGGTGACTTAAATATTACAAAAGTGTTTAAATGTGTGATAAATTCTTCTGTTTTTGTGCCATTTTACAGACAATTGTCAGCTCTGATGTTGTAAAATCTTATGTACCTCTACAGAACCTTATTCAGATTTTCTGCAGACATTTGATTAATCCCTCTAACCCAGTAAACTGTCACTTAGTTTTCTTGAATGGCAAATATCTCATTTGATGGTGAATCATGTCCAAAGAGCAGCAGCAAATAATGTTAGAGCAGACTCTGGTCATCATTCAGGCCTCCTTCATGTGATTATGGTTACTGTCCGCCGGTGCCTGCTGCTGTCCTCCAGAAGTGGGACCTTACTGTGTCTCCCTTTCCTTTAGGGGAGGAGGCAGAGGAGAGCCGGGCCGAGGAGGCCGCAGGGGGGCCAGAGGCTGCTGCGCCCCTCTGCCCTCTCCCCAAGGGAGACATCGGCAGGGTCCCTGTCTGGAGCACTGTGGAGACATTAGCCAAATGCTATTACCCCGAGCTGGCTCACCTGCGAGACAGCAATGGCCTTCTAGCAGACTATCCGTTTCCAAAGGGGGCCTGTCCAGGTGAGTCACTGCTCCACCACTAAACCACCCGATACTTCACCTGCATCTGTTACACCTGACCTTTAGAGATGATCTGACGTAAAGGCAAAGCTAAATTTAACAATATTCTCTTCCTCTGTTTTGAAATGACATGCCTTCTGTTTAACGCCGTTTGCGTTTTATCTCCTGAATTTAATAGTTTCAAGCCACTTGTTTTTAAAAGAGTTGAGATGGAATCCGAAATGAATTTCTCTCCAAAAAAACAACAATGGAATCTACACTCTAAAAACAAATTATTGAAGAACTCAAATAAAGTATGTCAAATGGGCCCATTAAACCGAATTGCTTTAGTGAAGAGTGTTATCTTGAAAGTAAGTGTATGCTACACTTTAGATTTAAGTAACTAGGTTTAGTGGAACCAGTTGACATGACAGTTCATTTTTTAGAGTGTTTGAATGTTGGTAAATTTCTGTCTTCAAAGCAAAGCCTACAGAAATGTCAGTTCAAACCTAAAAAAACCTTTAAAATAAGAATAATTAAGAATATAAATGTAAATAAGAAACCTTCACAGATTTTCTCTTTCTTCAGCAGCCCTCTCACCCTTCTCCGTGACCCGTCGCATTGGTCACCCGTACCAGAACCGGACACCGCCCAAAAGGAAAAAGCCTCGCACTTCCTTCAGCCGAGTGCAGATCTGTGAGCTGGAAAAACGTTTTCACCGACAGAAGTACCTGGCATCAGCTGAGCGTGCCACTTTGGCAAAGGCCCTAAAGATGACGGATGCCCAGGTTAAGACCTGGTTCCAGAACAGGAGGACAAAATGGCGGTAAGAGAGCTGCTGTTTCATCTCCCCTAAAGCATGATGAATTCCTCCTCCACACATCTCACACACGTCTGTTTTTACCCCCTTTTTCATTTAAACGTGATCCCCTGGAGCAAAACAGACCGACTGTGATTGATCCTCCTCAAGTTTAGTTTATATTTTTCCCTCTAACCGACAGCCTTGACTGTGTCTTTGTTTTACTCCTGTCCAAAATGCTTACCGGTGTCTTGGCTGCCCACAGCTGGAGCGTTCCAGGAGTTGTAAAACACAACACCTATTTTGCTTAGCTTAGCTGCCAGTCCAGGCCAGTTCACTTGACCAAGCACAATTACTCCTGAGTCTCCTGAAAGGCCTTTTAGAAACCTGCTGTCCAAAGCAATACTGACTCACTCACAGGAGGACACACACACGCACACACACACTCCTTCACTTCATTCTAACTGTTGTTTATAGCCATTTGGAAGTAAATGAGCAGGAAACCAAATTAAGATGCCCTTCCCATTGTTAAAGGGACAGGACGTATATTTCAAAAGCACATTACAAGCAGGCAAATTACCTGAAGTCATTACCTTAAGGGCTTTTACGTTTAAATGACCCTAATGCTTTTTAAAATGTTTTCTTCTTGCTCACAGAAACAGTTAAAGGCTTTAAGCTTTTTTGTTTCATGTTGGAATAAATTTACTGGCTTCTGGAAATATTCCAGAACTATTTCAATTCTTGAGTATTTTGAATTTTTTAATTGTTTGTGCATTTATGTTTCCTTGTTGTTTACTTTTTTGTGACTGTAACTGCTGCTGTGACACCAAGATGTCTACACTCAGGGACAATAAAATAATTGTCTATTCTATTCTAAAGCTCATTATTTCAAATTTGAAACGATGAATGAATAAATAAAAATGAGGTTTTCTGATTCCACCCAGCTCTCTGGCTGTTTGTGACATCATGGGGGTGTTTCTAATAAAACCCACCAAACCGTGTCCTGCCTGAGTGGCACGTCACGAGTAATGGGGGAATTGCTTTAACTGGTTATTCTGATTTCCTACTTTTGCCAAGATTTATGCTGTTCTCCTGTTGTGTGCATCCGATAGGATGAGCGTGAGGGATGTCTTTGCGTGACGACTACGCTAGTAACAAGAGGATGATCAAATCAACAGCCAGGGAATCAGATTATGATAATGCTGTTAACAATAATGTGTGGCTAATGGATGGAGCTTGGTGTGCATGACAGAGGGCTAGAGGTGTGTTTCTGCTATAGCTGCCATTCGGATCTGGCTGCTGGCTTTAGTTGCTTGTTTGTTAAAGGCTATGATATTATAGCTTTTTAAAAGCTAGGATTTTATGCTAAAATGAAGGCCAGTTGCTTAATGTGTGTGTTTCTGTAAAGTGATACCGGACTTTTAGAACATGTTCTGGTAAGATTTGCACACACATAAAGAACATAGAGCATGACCTTATCATCAAAATTTTACCAACTGGATACATAAACGCAAAAATAATAATTTATTTGACTTTTCCAGAAACACATCTGCGTGTTAGATGACTGTTAAAGCTGCACAGATGTGAGGTTTTTAAACAGCTCGCAGTCTAAAAACAGAAAATAAAAACAGATTTGACTTTAAGGCAGGAGGCCCTTCATCCCCTCTAACCACCACCTTCACCTACCAACACCTGCCAATCACCTCCATCTGCTGTCAACCACCTCCAATCACCTCAATCAGCTGTCAATCACCTCCAATCACCTCAATCAGCTGTCAATCACCTCCAATCATCTCTACCAGCTGTCAATCACCTCCAATCACCTCTACCAGCTGTCAATCAACTACATCAGCTGTCAATCACCTCCCCCAGCTGTCAATCACCTCCAGTCATCTCTACCAGCTGTCAATCACCTCCAATCACCTCTACCAGCTGTCAATCAACTACATCAGCTGTCAATCACCTCCCCCAGCTGTCAATCATCTCCATCAGCTGTCAGTCACCTCCATCAGCTGCCAATCACTTCCACCAGCTGTCAATCACCTCCATCAGCTGTCAATCAACTCCATCAGCTGTCAATCACTTCCACCAGCTGTCAATCACCTCCCTCAGCTGTCAATCATCTCCATCAGCTGTCAGTCACCTCCACCAGCTGCCAATCACTTCCACCAGCTGTCAGTCATCTCCATCAGCTGTCAATAACTTCCACCAGCTGTCAATCACTTCCACCAGCTGTCAATCATCTCCATCAGCTGTCAATCATCTCCATCAGCTGTCAATCACCTCCCTCAGCTGTCAATCATCTCCATCAACTGTCAGTCACCTCCATCAGCTGCCAATCACTTCCACCAGCTGTCAATCACCTCCATCAGCTGTCAATCAACTCCATCAGCTGTCAATCACTTCCACCAGCTGTCAATCACCTCCCTCAGCTGTCAATCATCTCCATCAGCTGTCAGTCACCTCCACCAGCTGCCAATCACTTCCACCAGCTGTCAATCACCTCCATCAGCTGTCAATCATCTCCATCAGCTGTCAATCACTTCCACCAGCTGTCAATCATCTCCATCAGCTGTCAGTCACCTCCATCAGCTGTCAATAATCTCCATCAGCTGTCAATCACTTCCACCAGCTGTCAATCATCTCCATCAGCTGTCAATCACCTCCCTCAGCTGTCAATCGTCTCCATCAGCTGTCAGTCACTTCACCAGCTGTCAATCACCTCCATCAGCTGTCAATCATCTCCATCAGCTGTCAATCACTTCCACCAGCTGTCAATCACCTCCCTCAGCTGTCAATCATCTCCATCAGCTGTCAGTCACCTCCATCAGCTGTCAATCATCTCCATCAGCTGTCAATCACTTCCACCAGCTGTCAATCACTTCCACCAGCTGTCAATCACCTCCATCAGCTGTCAATCATCTCCACCAGCTGTCAATCACTTCCACCAGCTGTCAATCCTCTCCATCAGCTGTCAGTCACCTCCAATCACTTCCACCAGCTATCAATCATCTCCATCAGCAGTCATTCACTTCCAATCACCTCCACCAGCTGTCAATCCTCTCCATCAGCTGTCAGTCACCTCCAATCACTTCCACCAGCTATCAATCATCTCCATCAGCAGTCAATCACTTCCAATCACCTCCACCTGCTGTCAGTCCTCTCCATCAGCTGTCAGTCACCTCCAATCACCTCCACCAGCTGTCAATCATCTCCATCAGCTATCAATCACCTCCAATCACCTCCACCTGCTGTCAATCATCTCCATCAGCAGTCAATCACTTCAAATCACCTCCACCAGCGCCCAATCAGCTCCATCAGCAGTCAATCACCTCCACCAGCGCCCAATCATCTCCACCAGCAGTCAATCACCTCCACCAGCTGTCAATCCTCTCCATCCGCTATCAATCACCTCCAATCACCTCCACCTGCTGTCAATCATCTCCATCAACAGTCAATCACTTCCAGTCACCTCCACCAGTGCCCAATCAGCTCCATCAGCAGTCAGTTTAAATCAATTTAATACAAGTTTATTTATATAGCGCCAAATCACAACAAGAGTCGTCTCAAGGCACTTCACACAATTAAAATTCCAATACAGGTCAGTTCATTAAGCCAATCAGAAAAAAGTTTCCTATATAAGGAAGTTCAATCACGTCAATCACCTCCAATCACCTCCACCAGCTGCCAATCACCTCCACCACCTTCTTCCTCCACCCCCTGCCAGTCACCACCACCACCTGTCAATCACCTCCACCAGCTGCCAATCACATCCATCACCTTCTCTCACTCTCCCTGCCAATCATCTCCATCAGCTACCACTTACCTCCACCACCTTCTCCCACCACCACCAATACCTGTCAATCACCACTACCACCAGCTGCTATTCACCTCCACCAGCTGTCAATCACCTCTACCACCTTCTTCCATCACCACCACCAGCTGCCAGTTACCTCCACCTGCTACCAGTCACCTCCACCACCTTCTCCCATCACCAACACTGCCTGTCAATCCCCTCCACCAGCTGCCATTCACCTCCACCAGCTGCCAATCACCTCTACCACCTTATTCCATCACCAACACCACTTGTCAATCCCCTCCACCAGCTGCCATTCACCTCCACCAGCTGCCAATCACCTCTACCACCTTATTCCATCACCAACACCACTTGTCAATCACCTCCACCAGCTGCCAATCATATCGCAACATCACTTCAATATAATTAAATATAAGGTTGTTTCTTTGCACTAAATCTGATTTCAGAATATGTTACATATCATCTCATGCTGCATAAAAAGAACAAACGTTTATGTAAATGCTTGAATTAGACTTTGTGAAAGGTGTGCAAACCGAGTGAGGTCATGTTGTATGAGCTCATATAAAACCTAACATTCATTGAAATTCTCCTGTGCTCTCTTTTTCTCTCTTCCTGCAGGAGACAGACTGCAGAGGAACGAGAAGCTGAGAGGCAGCAGGCCAATCGGCTGATGTTGCAGCTTCAGCAGGAGGCTTTCCAGAAGACGTTGAGCCAGCCGCTGCAGCCAGACCCCCTCTGCCTGCACAACTCCTCCCTCTACGCCCTGCAGAACCTGCAGCCATGGGCAGAAGACAATAAGGTGACCTCCGTCACCTCCATGGCATCTGTAGTGTGATAGTGTGTGTGAATGTGTCTAAAGGTGACAGGGAGGGAAAGTGAAAAAAAGCCTTGATTAGAATTTTGTGAGACTGAATAGAAGAAAAGAGGAATTTCCTCATTTTCTAACATCTTCTCAAGTATCTGATGTTAGGACAGACTCAGGAGGTTTTGTGCTTTGGATGAAATAACGTGAATGGACATTGTGTTTCCTCTCTCATTGACCGTTACCAGCAACAGACACAGAGACAGCTATCAGTAGTCGGACTTCCAGTCACAGGGGCTGCATTTAGTTTTCTGTTTATGAAAATTAATCAAGTCTATGAGTGTTATCATAGAAATCTAAAGTCTGTTCAGTCATATCCTGCCTTACACCAAGTTTTCGCTTTCCCTTCAGCTGTCGGTCTAAAAGAGAAGAGGGCACTTCCCCCTAAGTGCCGGGAAACACATGGACTCTTCTGTACATGCTCAAGACTGTCCCTCCCCCCCTCCCCCCCATTTGCCTCTGGATCCCACTCGCAAGGTGGCAGAGACTTTCTGCTAATAACAAAAAATACTTTGCTTCTGAATTTGTACAATGTAGTAAATGCATGTTTCAGTCCTTTTCTGTGTGCACTTGGAGGAACCACAGAAATCAGCTGCTGTCGAGGCGGATCTCCTCCCTATAGCTGCAGCCATCACGGATGCCTCCTTATGTTAAAATCAGAAGTGTTTTATATTAAAAGATATTGTGACTTTTTGAGAAGATGACAAACCTCTCTCCTTTTCCTTGTCTCTGTTTTGTCGGGTTCCTGTGCTGACTCCGTTTGTTTTGTGTCATCATTACGAAACAGTGCAATAATGGTTTATGATTTTTAGGGCGGAGTTATCCTCATGGGACATAGCTATAATTACACATTAAAGTTTCAAACCACCCAAAGGTATGATGCAATGCAACTGCATCAAAAGATGACAGCAATACCTTTTTTAACCATAAAAACTGATGACTACAGCTCCCATGTGAGTGGAGCAGCGGGTAACACACTCAGATGGTAGAAATCGGTTCTAAATCAAACCGAAAGAAAAGAGATGGGGAAAAACAGGTTTTATATTTTTGTTCTGCTTTTTGTGTGTAGTTGGATGATAACACTTTCAGGAAACAGGTCAGGAAATAAAATTATATTATATATTATCTTGATTCGGAAAAGAGTAGAATGCCTTCTCCGGGTAAGGGGTGAGGTCCTGCCCCAAGTGGAGGAGTTTAAGTATCTCGGGGTCCTGTTCACGAGTGAGGGAAAACTGGAGCGTGAGATCGATAGGCGGATTGGTGCTGCATCTGCAGTGATGCGGGCGTTGTACCAGTCTGTCGTGGTGACGAGAGCTGAGTCAGAAGACGAAGCTCTCAATTTACCGGTCGATCTACGTTCCTACCCTCACCTATGGTCATGAACTTTGGGTGGTGACAGAAAGAACAAGATCGCAGATAAATGAGTTTTCTCCGTAGAGTGGCTGGGCTCTCCCTTAGAGATAGGATGAGAAGCTCGGCCATCGGGGAGGGGCTTGGAGTAGACCCGCTGCTCCTCCACATCGAGAGGAGCCAGTTGAGGTGGCTCGTGCATCTGGTCAGGATGCCTCCTGGACGCCTCTTTGGTGAGGTTTTCCAGGCACGTCCAACCAGGAGGAGGCCTAAAGGTAGACCCATGACATGTTGGAGGGACTATGTCTCTCACCTGGCCAGGGAACGCCTTGGGATTCCCCCGGAGGAGCTGGCCCAAGTGGCTGGGGAGAGGGAAGTCTGGACCTCTCGACTTCAGAGTGGTGTCGAATGAAACTGGTGAAATTTCTAACCCAACAATCTCTGAGATCAATTTAGTGTTACTTTAAAGTGTCTTTCCGGAGTATTTCTCTTATCCGATGGCACCACCTAGTCACACAAGCATATCACACAAATAGTCTCAATCCATTTTATTAAGATGGAAACGTCACGTTTCTTGCTTATGAATGCGCTTCTGTAGCCGGCAAACAGAGCTAAAACATCTTGTTTTACAAGTTTTATTTTCCTGTTATGTTGTGTTTTCATATATTTACATTTTAAATCATTACTTGTCTGTGAAAAGTTTATTAACTCTGCATCAACTAGATACTTCCTTAAATTTGAAGCACATACACGGTAGTCAGGGATGGACTGGGACCAAAATTCAGCCCTGGCATTTTTACGAACCGTTGGCCATCAGAGTGAGGGGTGGGGTGAGGTTGTCGAATGTTGTGTGTGTTGTTCGCGGACTTGTCTTTATGCGGCCGAATGTGATAACAGGGGGTGGAGTGGGGTGGGGGTTGTGTCGGACAAAGCTGGGCAAGTGACCCATTTGGCTAAGCGGCCCACCGGGACAGTGCCAGAATGCCAGATAGACTAGTCCACCCCTGGTGGTAATCCAAAGCTATTGGTTAGTTCTGGTCGGCGTTCAGTTTCCCATTGCACAGAACTATGCGGGGCAGGGGGCATGCTTAGCAAAAAAACAAACAAACAAAAAAAAAAATGGGCGTATTGCTCACATTATATCACAATACATGATGAGACAATGACTTTAAGGATTTCTGAAAAATCATACATCATTTCTGAAAGGGGAAAACTCCGGAAAGCTACTTTACATGTAAAGAGTTGTATACATTTACTTTTACTTTACCACATTACAATGTATATTACTCTTTAAATTTAAGAAACTAGGTTTTGCAGAATCAGTTGATATAATTTGGTTTACTAAATTTAACATTTCATTTCTTAGAGCGTGGGTTCTGTGAAAAGGTCTGTTAATACTGTTTGTGTTATAGATAGTTTTATGAATTGTTTGGAGAAACAGAGATTAACTGGGCTGGATTAAAAAAAAAGTCATATCACAATAAATTCATAGCAGTACATGCAGACTTCAGATCATTCATTTTTGAAAAATGGGTGTTTCACATTTCATGGTTATGTACATACATGTCTGCAGTTCTAAGCAGAGGTAATTAGCTTGGGGCTAGCCTGCCTGGTAAACTAAAATTATTCTGCAGACATAATCATGAAATGTAAATCCTATTATGTAGTTCTGAATAAAATACAAAAGGCTTCTTGTGGCTAGCTCAGAGCTTGTTTGATCAGAAACAATCTTGTTTTCTCCTAACTTAGGCCATTCATATCTACAACAGGCAACATAATTATTTGATTTCCACAGAATGTTGCTTTACAAGTTCTTAATTGGCTCCTTAAAGATTATGTTCACTGAGAAACTGCTTTTTACTTGTCATTTTTAAAATATGATCATTCACTTTGAGTTTTGCATGCAGGCTGAATGTGAAATTAGTCTTCTACCTCTAATACCTGCATTAGGCGTCAAAAGGAAAAAACAGACATTGAAAGGCTCTGTCAAAAAGTACATCACTCTGTCATGAGCTGAACTAGGAAGACCCGTGAAGACGTCAAACACAATGAAAGTATATAAAAAAAGTCTTTATTTTTGGTGGAGTTACCACCAAAGGACAAGGACTAAGAGCAGGGGTGGGCAATTATTTTTTCCATGGGGCCACATGAGAAATAGAAAATATTGTGGAGGGCCAGGCCAAAAGGCTGAAGTCAATTATGCATAATATTAATGGTATTTCTTTATAAAAAGTAGTAAATACCATTGTTTTTTCAAGCTGGTAAGAGTAGACTATATGTTATAAATGAGCAAAAAGGAAAAAGTGAGGTTGGCTTACAAAAATGTGATTTATTCAAATTTCCCAAGGCAATGGTAAACAAAGTGCGCATTTGGTTTTTGTTAAACATTTGTGATTTATATTAGTTAACAGTTTTAGTCACATTCACTCCAAAACACATTTTGAGTTTCAAATATTGTTGGAAAGAGGTCCTTAGCATTCTACAGACACACAGTATTGTCTGTAAAATAAAATCACTGAACTGTGATCTTGTTAAAGTTAAAGTTAAAGTCCCATTAGTTGTCACACACACTGGTGTGTGCGCGAAATTTGTTCTCCGCATTTGACCCATCCCCTGGGGGAGCGGTGAGCTGCAGACACAGCCGCGCTCGGGAACCATTTGGTGGTTTAACCCCCCAATCCAACCCCTTAATGCTGAGAGTCAAGCAGGGAGGCATTGGGTCCCATTTTTTCAAAGTCTTTGGTATGACCCGACCAGGAATCGAATCCTGATCTCCCAGTCTCAGGGCGGACACTCTACCACTAGGTCACTGAGCTGGTTGAGAAAGAGGTTTCAAAAAAAAGTGTCCCAGTTCACTGCTAGTTGCCTACATTTGTGGTCCAAACACCTTATTTTGTGTTTTTAAGCGATTTTTTTCTTATTCAATGAGAGAAATCTAGTCTCTGCTGGGCTTTAACAAGTGCATCAAAGTCAGGTTGAATGTCTGAGGTGGAGATGCGAAGCACAGCTGACAAATGATCATCAGCGAGAGAGGATCTATACCTGGATTTTGTAAACTTCATCATTGAAAATGTTTGTTCACAAATGTAGGTAGAGCCGAAGAAAACCAACATCTTCTGAGCATGTCTCCTCAGGTTTGGAAAGTCCTCCTTAAGAGAAGAGTAGAAATCCAGCAGAGATCCTGAATCTCTGCTTTCAAGTCCCAAACCCTCTTCAGCACTTTCCCCAGGCTGAGCCATCTGACAGCTGTGTGGAGTCCTCCAAAAGAGCCACAAACTGTCTGTGATTCATGGCCCGTGCCCTGATGAAGTTAATTATTTTAGTAACAACATCAGTAACATGGTTGATTTTTAGCACTGACGTGCACAACACATGTTGGTGTATAATTCAATGCAAAAACACCTATTTTTGATCTGCATCGATTTCTGTCACTTTATCTTGCATGCGTTTCAAAAGTCCGACATTTTTCCCTGTAAGATTTGGACAACCGTCTGTTGTGCCACCTGACAGTCTCTCCCATTTCAATCCCAGAGTGTCCATGCACACATTTACCTCTGTAAAAAGATCACTCCTTGTCGTTGTCCCTTTCATCGACCGCATTGCTGCCAGCTCCTCTGTGAGCTCCGTTATCCCCCGGACATCACAGCTCTCGTCTAAGGCCAATGAGAAAAAGTCAAAACTTGCCACTTCACGTTGCAGCTGAAGCTCCAGGTTCCCCACGGTTCGCCTGGACAGCGGGATTTGCTCAAATGCGCCTTTTTTTTCAGGGCATATTAGTGTGGCAGAGTCCACCATGCACTCTTTGACAAACTCTCCCTCCGAAAACGGCTTGCTGTTTTTAGCTATTTTGTGGGATATCACAAAGCTGGTCCTGGTTGCTGCATCCCTGGATGTGTGAAGCTTAGTAAAACAGCCTTGCTGCTTTTGCAACTTTGCTAGCAAAGCTTCGGATGTCCGTGCCCTCTCAGCATCAGACGTTCTTGTATTTTTCCGAGTGTTTCTTGTCGTAATGCCGACTCAAATTGTAGTCCTTAAACACGGCAATCTCCTCCCCGCAAACCAAACACACGGCTTTGCCTCCGACTTCAGTAAAAAAAAAAAACTTAGCAGTCCAATTTTTGTTGAAAATCCTGTATTTGGCATCTTTCTTTCTTTCTTTTTTTTTTTTTTGCATGAGCGGACATTTCTGGGGCTACAATCACCATGTCAACTGCAGGCACTTGTTGCTATACGTATTGCGTCATTGTGCACGTAAAAACAACTTCAAAATAAAAGCAATGCAGCCTTAGCCCATGCATGAGGTAAAATGAGAAAATACATTTATTTTGTAATTTCCAATTAAC